TCCTGCTCTATGGGGAGACAGTACTGCTTCATCATTAGTGGAGGACGACTTTGGTAAGGCTCAAGCGTTCTCGAACTACTTTAGCAACGTGTATACCATAGAAGCGCCCTTCTCGTCAGCGTATACAGATCCCCCCATACATACACTGGATAGCGTGACCATTAAAGAACTCGATGTCTTTGGTCTGCTAAATAAGCTTGACATAGGTAAATCCACGGGGCCCGATGAATTACATCCTAGGCTACTGAAGGAATTATCTAACTTCGTTGCAAGCCCTTTAAGTACATGCTTTAACCTATCCGTTACGCAGGGTCGCTTACCGAAAGATTGGAAAAACGCCATAGTAAGTCCTGTCTTCAAAACAGGCACGAAACACAAACCTGAGAACTACCGCCCCGTTAGCCTAACTAGTGTGGTTGTTAAAATATTAGAAAAGATTATTCGGAAGGAGCTGTTTAAGTATCTCGATAAAAACCGGATCCTCTCGGAGAAGCAGCACGGCTTCAGAATAGGTTATTCTTGTCTCACTAACTTATTAGTGGCTCGTGAAAGCTGGTGCGCTCTTAAGGACCAAAAGCTACCTGTAGACGTCGCCTTCATTGATTTCAGTAAAGCTTTTGATAAAGTTCCGCACAACCGGCTGTTATATAAGTTAAGAAAAGTCGGGATTGGAGGCAATTTATTGATGTGGATAAAAGACTTCTTAGTTGGGCGTCAACAAAGAGTAAGGGTGAACTCAAAGTTATCTAGCTGGGAAACTGTGCTTAGTGGAGTGCCCCAGGGTACAGTTTTGGGGCCAGTGCTATTCCTCTTGTATGTAAATGACCTTCCTTGTCTCCTATCATCATCGGTCTTGCTATATGCTGACGATGTCAAGATATGGAAAACGATACGATGTAAGAGTGATAGCTTAGAACTTCAAAATGACCTGAAGAAGTTATCTGAATGGTCTCAAACATGGCAGTTGCCGATAAATACTTCCAAGTGTGTTGTGATGCATATCGGTCATCAAGGCACAGATACATACACGATGAATAACACTGAGCTACCTGTCGTCCAGACATATAATGACTTAGGAGTTATCGTTAGTCAAGACTTAAAGACTACTGCACACTGCCGTGCAATAGCCGCCAAAAGTTTTAGAACGTTATGGTCAATACGTAGGGCTTTTAGTCATGTCGACGCTAAGACGTTTTTGACTTTGTATACAGTGTTCGTTCGTCCTAAACTTGAGTACTGCATACAAGCGGCTAGCCCCTGCTTAAAAAAGACAGTGAGCTTCTGGAAAAGGTTCAGAGAACGGCGACTAAGCTGGTTCCCGGAATAGCGAAGCTTCCGTATGAATCTCGACTGGCCAAGCTGAACCTTTTCCCGTTGTCATATCGCAGAACTAGAGGCGACTTGATTACAGTCTACAAATTGCTTAGTGATAAATTTGCACCTAACATGCCCTCATTTTTCTTGTCTTCCAAAACAGAGAATTTACGAGGACACTCCAAAAAAGTTCACAAGCCGAGAACAAATTACTTGTCAGCTGACTATCGACTTTCCCATCGAATCATCAACGAGTGGAATTCACTACCTCAGCACAAGGTTGAGGCTCCATCCGTCGACTCTTTCAAAAAAAAGTTGGATCAACTGAGAGACCACCATTGCCAGGACTAACGTAGGCCATCGAGCCTCCTGTCCTTCCAAAACTGAAACTGAAACCGAAACACTCGTAATAATCATTGGTCTACTAGATTTAGTTAGTGTCTCATCAACGAAATATTCAAAATTTCTAACTATGAGCATGCATATTTTTGAGACAGTAATCAAGATTTAGTGTAAAAGTTACTGTTGTAGTGGTAAACAAATCCCAAAAATAAATAGATATGTGAGTCTTCGACATTGGATGCTGACCACATTAGTTTAAGTGGACTCACCTGAAGGCTCTCGGTCATGCATCCGCACCGGATCACGAGTAGGAACGCCATGCTCAACATCCCCTGCAATCGCTCATCAGTCTAGATCAGTCGATCCTCGATATACTGATATCCTATCAAAAATATCTTCGAACAGCCTAACTTCTGTTTTTTTGATTTCACTTGGTGGGTACTATTCATATTAGGTGTTACTGGTTAAATCGTTGTCAAACTCCAAATACTTGTGGCATCTTCGTGGTATTCACAACTTGACGGTTGCTTTCAAATGCAAGTCTGTCATTCATAAAGCAATCAAATTCCTACGGCGTATGGTGATTACCATAATATGACAATCATAACATCCTTCTGTCCTCAGGAATGTTTTTGCATCCTTTTGGGATTAAGGAATGCGAGACAGTCTCTACGAGGCATCATCAGTCATGTCGTTTGTGGTATGAACTTTATAAACGCACGTTTACGAACGACTTTTTGGTTCTTTAGCGTCTAACGTATATTTGATCCACTCCAGAGTAATTGTTTCACCAAGAATATAGAGTCCTCTCGGGTCGGAAGCAATTAGTTAGACATCCTCAGACATACAATTGATACTCATAAGATTCACGCACTCAAAAACGAGGTGACTGCTCTTCCGGATTTCCTCAAGTAGATCACAGTCTGGCATCTATCGTCTTTCAGTTGACTGGAAACTCTCTTGTAGAATTATGTTCAGCTGCATGTCACTGATTAGGCCCTTACAAGATCAAAACTTGGAGAAGAACAGGGCAATCAAACTGAAGGACAGGGCCAAAAACCCATGCATCACAATAAAGGATATATTCGGGAGATGACCAATTCTTCGGGTAGTATTTGATGTAAGCTACCTAGTCGTCGTAAAGTATGCTTATCACGATGTGCTGAAACATTATTGGATACGGATGAGTGACTAAGCACCTTTAGTTAGCATGAATTTAGTAATACTAATCAGGTAAACATAAATGCTTTAGAGTTACAAGGCTTTGGGTGGTTTATTTTGCATGGCACACACTTGAAGATGGCACAGGCATTCAGTGTTTGACAACGCCTTTACCAGTAACACCTTCTAATATAACTCGTACCCACCAAGAGAAATCAAAAGACAGAATCGAGGAGATCAGAAGTTGTATTTGACGATTGCCAATATATCGAAATTATCTTATCTAATCTGGTTACGATTGCAGTAGTAGCTGAGCACGGCGTTCCCACTCGTGATCTGGTTCGGATGCATGACCGAGCGCCTTCAGCTAGATGAGTCCACTGAAACTAATGTGGTCAGCATCCAATGTCGAATACTTACAGGGCTATTTATTTTGGGGATTTATTTACCGCTACACGCCAACATTTTGCGGCAGGTGCACTAATCCTCAGTGACACGAAGACGATTGAAACTGAGCAACTAGTGTCACCTTAATAAGCATTTCTTCAGATACCGAAATATTATAAAGAGGGAAGATTCGAGAGTATATAATTGGATAGGTTTGAAGTAGCTTAAGATTAGACACTTCTCCTGGCCCGGATATAGTCCATTCTGCCACACTGAGGGAAGCAGCCTCAATCTTGGCAACGCTGCTTAGCGTGATGTTCTCACACTCGCGAAGTTGAGGAAAACTACCGGAAAATTGGAGGCTGGCTCACGTCACACCAATTTTCAAAGGAGGTCGACGCAGCGAACCTTCAGGTTACCGACCGGTGGCTCTTCTCTCAATACCTTCAAAAATCATGGAGTCCCTGATATGCGATGGTATAAATGACTATTTACTGTCCTTAAATTTCTTCTCACCCCAACAACATGTTTTCAGGAAGGATTGATCTTGTATTACCAACCTGCTGACTACGGGGGACAGATGGACAAGCATCCTTGATCACAAGCAGAAGGTTGATATCATCTACCTAGATTTCTAAAAAGCTTTTGATGAGGTTAACCATACATGTCTTATCAACAAGCTCAAACGATTGGGTATCAGATCACCTCAAATCGATTGGCTCACTTCATACCTGAAACATCGACAATTTAAGGTTAGGGTTAATTTCACTTTATCTCAGGCTATGGAATGTCCTGGTGGGGTCCCCCAGGGCTCAGTACTGGAACAACTTCTCTTCTTGATTTACATAAACGATCCTTCTCAACAGGTAACGTCAGAATTGTTACTCTTTGCCGATGATATAAAACTGTGGAGAGAGATACGCAACCAAGACGATATACAGGCTCTTCAGGAGGATCTGACTCGACTTCAAAGTTGGGCAGACGATAACGGACTTACCTTTAACACTTCAAAGCGTAAAGTAGTCCATCTGCAACATGTCGCAGACTACAGTTATAACTTAAGAAACTCCTCTCTAGTAGTATCCCAAGTCGAAAAAGATTTAGGAGTCCTGGTGCCCTACGATTTAAAGTCTTACACTAACTGTGACAAAAATGCCTTGCGAGCAAGCCTTGCACTGGTAACATTGAAGCGCATTTTTGTCCAGTTTGACGGGAGAACTTTCCATATAATCTTCAATAGTTTTATCCGTCCCCATTAAGAGTATGGAAACACAGTATTTCCCCCTCACTCCAAAAGGATAAGAACACGCTGAAGCATATTCAACGGCGAGCCACGAAATCAGTTCGAGGACTCAAATTTAAACCGTACGAAGAACGCCTCCATTCACTTAACCTTTACCCATTAGAGTACAGACGTCTTAGGGGTGACCTTCTGATGGCTTATAGTATCCTTAACACTTCTGGACATCCTCTCAAACACCTAATTAGGCTTATTTCGAATAATAACCTAAGGGGTAACACTCAAAAACTGGAGACACAACATAGCAGAACGGACTGTAGACACAACTTCTACTCCTTAAGAGTTGTCAAGTGCTGGAGTTCGCTGCCGGCCGAGCTAGTCCAAGAGACTTCCCGGAAGTCCTTTAAGAGGCAACTTGATCTATTCTTAAGGACTAAGGATAGTATCACACTATGATTTACTAATTTCTTTTCCTCTCTTATTGTTAACTTACCTAGGTTCCTGCCTGGAGGATTTGGTGATCCCCTGTTACTAGACACAGAAGCCTGTTAAGCGAAAGCTTCTTCTATTCCGTCTACAACCATTTGAACCATTTGAGCTTATTAATAGGACATTGGATCAGCGGAAAATTCTGTTTTGCGTTACTTCAATGGTTCTAAAGGTTTATATCAGCACTCTTTCTGGAAACCTTAAGGTTGGAATCGTTACTTTTAACTAGTTATGATGCAGGTCAAAAAAGAACAGGCACTCATTCTGTCACTGCTTAATGCCAAAAAGGTTGACTTTAAGGAAGTTGACCTCTCTGACGTTTCCAACGAACCTGAGAAATGTTCATTATTTGAGGAGCTGAAGAAAAAAGATAAACCTTTGGTTCCACCACATATTTTCCTTGACGAGGAATATCTTGGAGTTAGTATTTTGCTTACTTTCATCTTTCAGGGCTATGAGGAATTTTACGAGGCCTTGGAAATGGAAGAACTGGAATCTTTTTTAAAATTGCCTGGAGAAAAACCTGTAAGGTCTTCAATTATCTATTACGATTTACCTTCAGAAGCCGTTCTCAGCATTAATGGGTAGCAGCGCCAGTGAGGTACCGGTTGCGCCTTAGGTCTTCTCGCATGATTGTTTAGCCTTATTTTGCATGTGTTGCATGAATTAAACCTGTCGAAAATGTACTCAGACTCAATTCGTGACGTTAATTTTCAGGTCGAGAGTGAGGAGGAGGACGAAGAGAAGGATAAGGTAGTGTGTTTAATAGTAATCAGTTGACTTTACTAGGAGTCTTCGGGCAATGAAGATAAGTCCGATATTTCTAAGGAGGAAGAAAAGAGTGAAGCTGATGAAGATAGGAACAAAGATCAGAAAGAGAGAGAAAAGCTTTCAGATGAAAGTCTTGAGGAGAAAGTTGGTGCAAATGGAGACAGTTCCTCAGAACACCAGAGAAAAACTTCTGAAGATGAAGATTCAGGGAATGAGGAAGAAGAAAAAATAAATCCCTCATCGGTCAAGGATGTTGAGGGCGAAGCAAAGCCTTCGAAGGACTCTGATGAAAGTTCGGAAGACTCGTCTGGAGAATCCGAAGCCAAAAAATCCAAGACAGAGTCGGATAGTGATTCATCAAAACGTTCAGTTTCTAGTGCTCGAAAGGATTCTGAAAGCTCATCATCTGGAGAATCTGAGGCCAAGAAGTCGAAGACAGACTCAAACGGCAGTTCACCAAAGCCCTCTCCACCAGATTCTCGAAAAACATCTGTTGGTTCTAAAGCCAAGAATTCAGAAGTGAAATCTGACAGTGACTCATCATCAAGTCACTTAGAGCAGCCTGCAGAAAAGTCTATGGAGATTAGAAAGGAGAACACAACGGAGTCGGAAGACTCAAGCGCAAATGAGTCTGAATCATCTTCGGACTCTGAGTGAACTTCAATGACATTATTCTTGTGATCCATTCAATAGTTTATCGCTAACTGGTATATTTAATATAATGCTATGTAATCATTCTTATCGCATATCAAAGTCACTTAGGATTTAATTACGAGAATTTATTTTACAAACATGTCGGGATAGTCCATTCCTCACGATTTATTCTGGACGTTATTTGGTCCAAACGACTTGGTTTGACAAGCTAATATGGAAAGAGACCACGGAATAATTATGAACCACAACTATGTCGGAAAGTCCGATGTCATGTTTTGTTTAACACATCCATTCGATAGATGAGTAAAAACTACTGTTCTCACCTGGTATAATGATGTACCACATTAACTATTTACTGTTAGGATTCTGATCAACAAATGTTCCTTCGAATTCAACGAACAGAACGAGTAGGTAAAACTAATAAAGATCAACTTAATTTGCTGAAATGTCTTGAACTGTAATTGGGAACGAATACGTTGATACTTCGAATTTTAGAAACATGACACTACCTTAGACAGAAGTCACTATAAGCTGATGCTATATGATTTTCATCTCTGAATGTTTTAGTAATCACAGTGAACTGGTATTCACGTCAAGCATTCCAGGGCACTAACTGTCTTATTGTCAAGAGTTTCGGTATAAAGGGTAGCTCTTTAAAATCTCATGGTATATTCATTTACTCGTAATCTACATATATAATTTAACTATCATTACTGTATTTTGTCAAGATAGTTCCGATAAGTATGGCGAACAATTATCATGTAAAGACTAGAACGAAACGACCGAATTATATGTAAGGGCCCCTTTTTGGTGTTCTAATTGTCGGATGCTCACTTACACGGAAAGCAATATTTTGATATGTTGAGTTTTGAAGTTCAGTATTTTCAGGGGACAATTTATTACCGTAATCTTTTTTAATTAAATTATTTCGTCATTTAGTACCACCTGAATTTACCGCACTGAAGTATGCTTATCGTCCTTGGAAACCGCATTATTCTTCCCACAATCCGTCCATAGGTAATTCGAAATTTCAGAATATATGTATTATCTCCGATATTGAGGTTTATAGGATGATTCAGAACCCATCCATTCTTTATCTTTCTCTAGATTTTTGGCTTGAGTACCATTCCATACTTTCAATGCATTCCTGTACAGGCCATATTTTCCAATGGTTAGTCTCCTTCTATGATTAGTGTTTTAAACATTTCAACCCCCTTCTCTTCTTTTCAACTTCACCTAACTTCTGATTTGGAGTATCATCTTGTCCTGATGCCCATATCTAGATCCTACGTTGGTTGGAATGTTTGAAATACCAGAAAACTGTAGTGTCCTACTGTAAAAACCATTAGAAGTCTAAATTCAGCCGTATGGTCTTCCAGACTAACCATTGCTGCATGCATTTTTAATAACTTACTTATAGACCTTCTACTTCACTGTATGATGAGTACAACAATTCTGGCAGAAAATCTTCCGGCTGATGCAAGTTATCTAGACTAATATAAACATAAATATAGATGAAAGTAGACCACAATGAAGGGATGTTTTCATAGGACTAACAATGTATAACGTTTACGTATTACAACGTGAAACTCAGGCTCATCATTTCTCTTCGGTAAAATCATGAACACTCGACATATTAATCGATCATCACTTATAAACTAATGACTTGTCAGATAGAGCAAAGGGTACTTACTGCCATAGGAGTCTCTAATTAGGACAAGATGACTCTGCTAGTAACTGCATGTGAATCAAGCGGCTGCGCATATATTGACTACTTGGACGTATATTTGTGTGCCCAAATGCCCTGGTACGGCCGAGAGTGGGGAGAGTCCACTCTCCCTCTTGAAATGCTCTCACATGGCCACGCGTATATAGCCTCTGCCAAAGCAGTCCTACTCACTGCCTTCTCGTGGCGGGGGGTGTTGTTTACGAAAATGTGAGGACGAAAAGTGAATGTCCGGCGCTTTAACCGGATCTCAAACCAATGGTGCACATGGGCTCCAGTATCCTGCGGGAACAAATGGTGTATGAACAAATTTTTGGTCACCGGCTACCATGGGAATGCATCTCCTCACGATGCTCCACTGCCTTGTGGATCAGGTCGAAGGCTCGGGGAGTGGCCCCCTAAGATAACCACCTGCCTCGGTTTGGGCACCCGAGCAGTATCACAGCCCTCACGCATATCGAATGAGATTTGTGTGGTTCATATGTATTTGGTGCCTCTTTATACCAATATCTATATGTTGAAATAAATAAATGAATGATGAGTCACAATTGATTGATCACTGGGTGGTGATCAATGTCATGCTTGTCTAGTACTTATTAGTGCAGATCGAATGCTATCGATTATGTTGCAATGTGGCCACCAGTCTAGGTGACTCGACACTGCGGGCACTATATATTGAGATTTAGATGGATGTCGGAGATAGTCGACAGGAAACCCTGGACCCGGGTTTCGTGAAACTTGGCACTCGTCAGCAAGGTGTACCTGTAATCTTGAGGGAACTGGTGCTCCCTGTCGGGTTCGATCTCGTGTCACCCAGCTTCACAGGCAGACGTTACCACTGGGCTATCCGAGCCGTGACTAACCTCCTGTAGTACTGAGATGTAATCACAATTGATTGATCACTGGGTGGTGATCAATATCTTGCTTGTCTAGTCTCTAACTGTGAAGCTGGGTGACACGATATCGAATCCGACAGGGAGCACCAGTTCCCTCAAGATTACAGGTACACCTTGCTGACGAGTTCCAAGTAGCACGAAACCCGGGTCCAGGGTTTACTGTTGACTACCTCTAACCACCATCTAAATAAATGAAGAGTATTTATTATGAATCAGTATACTCAGAAATTAGTTAACCATGTGTTAGTAATTATAGAAGCAAAATATTTAGTCCTTTCATAACTTGGTGTTGAAAACTTCTAATTGTTGGTCATAAGTTCTTATTTTTGTCTTAAGAATTTCAAGGTTACTCTAAAATGTAAAAGTATTGTGTACAAACATGTATTACAGTGAAGATATCTTTGTTCTCATAATTATACATGTCGGTTGTATGTATACTCGTACAAGGTTTAAGTCTTAAAGTTATTATTAGTGTTTTCCTTGAAAAATGAGCAAATGTGAGTAGTATTATTGGTGCTTATAAACTCAACAGTTATAAAACTTGCATTTAAAGATTTCACTGGCTTTTGTTTACTAATAGGCTCCCCATTTATTCGATAAATATAACAAGATGTAGTAGCATCTGCAGCTTAAATTGTGACAATTTCGCGATTGTCTTATGGACATATTTTTAGTGAGGGTAGGTTAAATACAACTCCACACATCATCAAAATGGTATCATGGTGATGGAGACCAACGTCTGTAACAGAGTTAATAAAACCCTGGTTTTGTTGTAATTAAGCATTTAATGCCTACCACTAGTTAAATTTAAAGGCATCCAGCTAGGAGTCAGTGTTGTACACTGCATTGGTGTGATAGTTTACAGTTACTTGCTGCACGCTCTCTACCTAATAACATTTTGAGATCAATCCAATCGACTTGCCTTTCCAAACAAATTTGTGTTAAATATTTACCCTAATGGTCTGGTTGTTTACAGGTAAACGATCTGATGACACAGAGTTTCAGAGATCCCATTTCTACTTCTTGAAGAACAACTAAACAGTTACTTAGCAGGAAGTTTTGGAGACTAGTTTTTGTCGTCCAATCCCTAGGTAGTTATAGGCGGCAAAAATATAGACTTAGATGTGGTGATAATATTTTTCCAGCCGCAAAAGTTGCCGAGAGCGAGATGGCTTGTTGCTTAGGTGAAATGTGCAAGCAGCACGAGAAGTATTGAATAGCATAAGTCCTTAATGTTTGCCTTTAGCTAGTTCTCTTCAGTAAATTAACGAGGTTTGCTACCAGGTGTTGACTGTCAATAGGACTGCCACCTATTTATTCTGGGGGTTTATGTAGATTAAAATTTAACGTACACCAATTCACTTCAAAAACAAGTTGATATCAGTACATAACAAACTTTGCGTACTATGTGTCGAAGTAAAATCAAAGAATGCTATTTGTCAGTATCCTCGATCGATTTTTGAAATGATTTTAACCTTATTTTCGCTTTTTGTTTGCTCGATTCAGTGTTCATTTTGATAAAATATAAATATAATCAATAAAGCTTTAACCAATGAGAAAGTAGGTTATTTTGTGCTAAATAAGTAGTTACAGAAAAAACCTAAAAATACCTGATTTGACTGTTAAACTTGCTGTTTTCAGTCGTCAACAATTAACTCGTGGATTGGACTTTCTGAGTCATTGTCAGACTAACATCCACCCGGTGCGAAAAATTATTTTTCTGAAGCAAATTATTTCCCCATGATCTGTGAATGATGTAACCATATCTCATATAAATAAAAATTCCACATGAGGTATATTAACACTAGGACCATTGTCCAGCAACCAAATTGCTGATGTAAGTTCACCTCGCTCTACGATAAGAGGATACTTGAAATAGTTATACAACCATTTTCTCTGAGTTAATACAAGATTCAGCAATGAATAAGATCGAAATTAATATGAGTTTCGTTGACAAAGTACTCTATTATAGCCTGATACGGACGTACAAAACGTCAGTCAAAAGTTTTTCGACGTAACTTCAACCAAAGCGATCCAAGATTTACAAAAGGAGTACAACAGATTACTACACATCAGTCACCACATTTTGCAGAAAGCTTAAGAGTGCTCCATCTGAATCTTATATGTATCATGTCTGTAACATAAAATGATTTTCAGTAATTATACATTATTTAGAATAAAGATATTTTTGGTAAACAGTTTTGTGTACTAATTATCAACAAAATCTCTGGATACATGAGAAGAGCATTATCTACGCAGTTGTATAACATGAGACAGGCTTCAATTCGTAAACAACATCTATTTGATAAGTTGCTAACATGCAATTAGGTTAAATATACTAAGACGAAAACACTATGTGCCTGAGAAACCAAGTAACTGACATTGGGAAACTCCAATTCAGTCATTTCAATTTTTTGAATAACTGGGACATGTGATTGATGAAATAAATACTCATAAGATAATATTAATATTGTTGGAGGAAAACTGTATATACTAGTATGAAATTCGTAATTGGTTTTGTTCCCATTTATTTGCTGCATCACAGAAAACAATGGTACACTAGTTGGATATGTTATCCTGTTCGCCTCATGTTTTTACGCAAACTGTGCGTATATGTTACTTATTTTAAGTGATGATCTAAAGAAAAACAGTCATTTCAGATTGCTGTGTGCTTGCCTAAATTTTAGTCACTAAAAACTAGATACAGACTGGTGTACGCTTGATGAAAGATGAAAAATGTAAAATTGGAAAGTTAAAAAACCTAGGTTTGTGTGTATAAAGTGAGATCTAACTCACCTACAAAAGTATAAAATACAGTGAAGAGATATGCTGTTAATGCATATAAAAAGCTGTAATAAACGCTAATCGCTAGAAAATAGTTCATAGTCTGAAGACATATATTTTCAACAAACTAGTTTATTGCCTATAAGAACTTTCTATTATGTTTCTGGTAAGAACAAAAAAACACCAGGTATTGTTTCTGTTTGGTATAGTGGGTGCCAGTTCTCACTGTGCTATCTTAAATCTGTAACTTTACTGAACAATCTAAAATCATTATTTACATAGGCTTCATTTAAGTAGATTGTCTTGTTAGCAAACCTAATGTGATGGATTTATGTTAACTTCCAAACTGGAAGTTGAAATCGTAACAAACCATTTACGACAAAGGCTGGTTACAGAAATGCATGAGCACCTAGTGTTCTGTTTAAGCTTTGTAAAGTTCAGAGTCAGAATACATCAATATTTAATTGGACTAGCGACTCATCAGTCTTCAAATTTGTAATGCCAGACCACGATTTTGAAATTTTCACCTATTTAGGTTTATACAGCCAGGTAGTAACCTTGTTTCGGGTATGACAAGCGCTGCTCTCTAACCAGTACACCGGCGAATATATCCAGTTCTGAAAATGTACACATAAACAGGTACTCATAATTTCTAATTCTTACCGTTCGAACCTGTTGCGCAGAAATATCCAAATGATCGTTCCTCCGTATGCGTGTTCATCGTAAACAAAAGTAAAAGAACAATGTTTTATATGAAAAAGTAAAAACTATTTAAGGCTAAACAATCGAGGACTTTCCATTGTTGAAGTAAAATAATATTGCCCTGAGGCTAATCAATTTTAAATTTGATATTACTGAGAGTGCTTCAGTATGTTTCTGTACTACACTGAGTAAACAAAATGTATGCAATTAGTTTTATACTTAGCCAATTTTAATAACTATTTTTTAAACCCATTAATATATAATTAAACAATGTATCATCTGTAATTAATTTCTATTTAACTCCCATTTTAATAACGTTAAGTAGTATCCATTTTATTTATACCACTGTGATGATTGGAGGCACAAAGAGGTAATACTGACCAGTTAGTAGAGACTTCAATTTTTTCCTCGTCTTAAAAATTCATAATACTGACTAAACTTTTATGAAATCATTAATTTTATTCAACGGAACGAAAATAAAACTTCAACAGTAAAAATAATGTATTTGCAAAGCTTCAATAAGTAGAAATTTAGATTTATGACGTTTCGTGACTTGGTGCATGACACTTCTTCCTTGTGTGACAATGCTTTTTTGTAGCTGTTTGGTATATATAGACTTCCTTATAAATTCGAAATAAATGTCAGATTAGCAAATATTGACAGAAACAGGTTCACTAAAATTTTCGGAATATATCAGTGTAAAATTGAAA